AAATTCGAAAAGAATTAGGCGCTTGCTACTTAAAAATGTTTATTAGTTATTTAACTCAATGAGCTAAGAAGAGACACTTCCATAAAAAACAACACCAAGCGAATTTACAAATCAAGTCTTCATCAGGGGCGATAAATACAAGGAAATAATAAGCCCTTGGAGAAGCATCCGATAAACAATAACCTACTCATGAATAAATTAACACATTAGTAACACGTAGGAAAAAAAATGTAGACAATTTTGTTGTTTTTGTTTGTTTAAGTTGGTTTGATATAGGAAACTTTTTTATTATTAATTTTGCAAATAAAGTTAATCTATAATCAAACGGGTCAAATGAGTAAAACAATAACTATTTAACAAAATTTTGCTTAGTTATCCTGAAAATGACAGAGTAAGCTAAGAGCTAAGTAGTACGATAAAAACAATAAAAGTACATTTTGAGACAAAACTGTGAAAAATTATTTTTCGACAGGATAGTAAAATTGTTACAAAACCACATTATTTAAAAAACCAGTCGGTGAACAAGGTAAAAAAACTTATTAAATGGTTTTGCAATATGATACTACAAAGAAGCATTCATCAGCCTTTACATACATAAAGGAACAAACGTAATTCAGTCGTAATTTATGGCGGACCCAGCAGATTTGCAATCAAATTAATAGGAACAAGTGGAGTGCTTATCCTTCAATGGAACATATGTGCTTCAGCCCTGCTTCAGATCGAAACGAATATTTATCCGGGGACAAAATAACATGTGAAAAAATCACAGATACGGGGGTATGAGTTTGAACAGTAACACATGCAACATCTTACTCAAACATAAAATTGAAAAAAAGGTTATGCCATTCATTAAAACAACGCAACCGGCGTCCGTCAAAGTCTCTCTTCAGTAAAGGCAAAGAAAAATAGTTGCGCCGCTTAAAAGTTACGCAATTTCTTAATAATTGCGCTAGCGAACCTACGAGCGAACTTACGAACCACTGCACTTGCCTGAACAACGCTTGTGTGATGATACATCGCAAACCCGAATAACTTTTTATTTATCCTTCATATTACATCGCTGGAAAAGCTACTCTTATTTTAAAATACTCTAGAGGCCCTACAGTTCACACATTAAAATCTTCAAAAGAACTGTCGACTCAAATTAATAACATTACCAACAAGTTTATACATGCCCTAAACGTAAATCTGACCGGAAAGTTAAAAAATCCGGAAATAACGATTTTTGCATCATTTGCTCCGTCATAAAAGGCGTCCGTCCACCTATTTGGCCACATTTCCATAGAAATATTGGAAAAGGAAGGGCCTTGTAAATAATTCAAAGTGACCCTCTAATAGAGCCTTGTAGCGATTTCAATACTTATAAGTTATGGTATGTGACGCCGACATTTACATAAGGGTGACTCTGAAGGGACTGTCCGCAGTTGTCGAAAACATCACAATATACAGAACCGGAACGTTCATTAAATGTTTACATCTAGTTCATGCATTTCTTGATTTTGTTAATTATGGTTTTAGGAAAACAAACATTTATAGTAGGTTCTTGAAGAAATAGTTTTAAAGAAATAAGGAAGATTTCTAAATCTGAATTTAAATTGGCAATAAACTAGGAACTCAACATATTGCTAAATCGAAAATAATATTGATAGGGACGTTAATTTTCACCATTCATTAGGTAATTTTTTCCGATGTTTTGCTCTCCCGGAAGGAAGAAATTTTTTTCCCTTAAAAACTGATGAATGTTTTAACACTTCGTAAATTAAAAATTTTATAAAACATGATTTAATTGTAAATTGGTGTTTGTAGTTTGTGTAAAATTTCAAATCTGATGATGGCGCTGTTGTCTCGCCGAAATGTAATGAAATAAACGATGTTTCAAAAATTTTTACTTCACACTTTGACTGAAACCCAGGAAAGATAGGAATTTTGTTATAGGTAAAACGCAGGATATCATAATATTGATAGGGTAACAAAGTAACAAGGGGACTCAGACAAGAGTGCTGTATAGCCAAATCTATTCAAGATCTATCTAGACAGCGCATTAACAACATGATACTGGTGGATGATACATCAACAATCTACACTTTGGCATTTGCAGATGGCCAAGAGGTCATTGCCCAGGATGAGAGCCTAGGAAAGAATATGATAGGTGGGCTCTAGAGGTTAACATGCAGAAACGAGAATAAATGTGTATAGTAGGAGAACAAGATCTACCGGTATCAGACAAATTATCATTGCATATCAAATGATGTAGCACATACAAATACCTAGACATAAAAATATCGAAAGAAGGCTGTGTCCATGTTAAACTGCATACTATGGGATAAAGACGTTGACAAAGACAAACAAGCACAGAATATACAACATACTAAATAATACAATAATTAAAAGTACAGTAACCTAAATTGGTGAAGTGGGGGCTATAAACGATAAGGCAGAGAAAGCACTAAATCTACAGAGATGAACTACTGGAGAACAGTGAGAGGAAAGCCTAGATTGGAAAGGGTCAGACATGAACGGATAAGGAAAATGATGGAAGTAAATCACGATGTTTTAGATTGTATAAGAACGGAACAACTTAGATTGTTCGGATGTGTGCAGAGCATGTGCCAGGACCGACTCCCGAAGAAAGTACTACATTGGACACCGCAGGGCAGAAGAAGGAGAGGAGGACCACGGAAAAGCTGGAGAGAGGGTATAGACGGAAAGGTCTAGAGGAGAGGACTGGACGGAGAGACCTGGAAAAACCGAAACGGCTGGATATTGTGTATCAGAAAACGGACAACATTGTAACCCGATGGCCATCAAAATAAAATTGTTTAAGAACATGTTAACTTTATCAACACTTTTAATAGTATTCGACCCGAGCAACAATAGCAATCATGTGTATCATTTTGTATCAAAACAGCGCCACATGTAAAGCGTTAGACTGGAAAATACAACTTTTTATAATAACATAATACTTAACAAAACTGTTAACTGACTGCATAAATATTTATTGCTAAAAAACTTGAGCTTATCCGTAAAACATTGTGGAAAATCTGCAGTACTAGATAGTACGTACAGCCTCGCAGCTACATGACACGTTATCAACAATGTCATTACAGAAACACATGTTACCTTATAAATAAATTAATGCACATATTCAGAAAATGAATCAACTACCTATCATTTTGCCAAAAGAAATAGTGCAATTTCAAACCTCTACCTATCTCACCAGTTAAGAAAAACTCATTTTTGTCGAAGCTATGACATAAATACTTTTATTTTACTGCATGAACACCACAAGTATGAATTAAGCTCATGTACGTCAAGATTATATTAAGAAACCATTTTATTGCTGACCAAAATAATTTATTAAATTTTATCGTACATTTCAAATTGATCTATTTACATGTTTCTACCACACTTTCCCACTTTCTCTACTATTATCTAGATTAGTATGCAAAATTCTACTTTAAGGTTTCGAGATCTAAGTATGCTAATTACATGCCTTGCTAGCACTAGTCGTAATGAGAAGATGTAAGCCGAAAAAATAAAACAGTTTTGCATGACTAAAGTATAGTAGATATGTGAACAGTCATAACAGTGTCACGGTTAAAAATGGATTTTAAATAGTGATTCACCTGTCTGCTAACCCGTTGGAAAATGTAGGTAGTTAGTAATAATTGTAATAATCGTTTATTTTCAACCGAAATTTATTTGTAACTTGGATTTAGTAAACAAGTTTGTCCTGACAAACTAACCTAAACTGTTATATTAGCCATATTGCACGTACTATTTATATTTTAATAGTTAAATATTTGTACCTCGCTGCCAAATATCAGCAGTATATGTCATGATTAAGCAGAACCGCATTTATGATATAGATGCCTATGAAACAATGGTTACGTCTAATCTACAACATGTTGAAAACATAAAATTAGTATGCGACTCATACGAGACAAAAAGCTAGAGAAGAAAGCTGTAGTAAAATTAGGAAAAGGCAAGAGTACAAAGACAATAAATATGATGAAATATAGAAGGGAAGTGTTGGACAAATATACAACAAACTATACCTCTCAGACAGCTAAATAAAGACATATAACACATCTATAACACATCACAGGTAGAAAAAACGATTGAAGAAAATAAAAGCATACAGATACTCCGACGCAGACCAAATTTGGGCAAAAGAAACATCTGGAAGTTAGCAGACAAACATGGCAACATTATTACGAGCAGGGAGGAATTTGCTATATTCAAACCAAGATAAACCACTAAATAAACAGCAAATACCAAAAGTCCAGAACGTGGGATTGAAAGATATCCCATAGATAACTATTGATGAGATTAAGTCAGCTATCAAAAATATGAAGAATAACAAATCGCCTGGCGATGATGACATAACAATCGAGTATATCAAGGAATTGAGTATATCAACTTTGCTATATATAATCCAAAAATAATTCAATGCCTGCCTATTAAAGGGTACAACACCTTCTCAATTGACAAATGCTGTCATAATAATTATGCACAAGAAAGGCGATGTCACAGATCTGAGGAATTATCGACCAATAAGCCTACTGTCCCACGTATACAAGCTATTAATGGCAGTTATCACAAAGAGGCTCACCAACAAACTTGACAGCTACTACCAACCCTGTGAACAGGCTGGCTTTCGTTCTGGCTATAGTACTAACAATCACCTACAAGTGATAAAATATCTAATAGAAAAATGTGTCGAATACAACAAACCACTAGTGTTGATCTTTGTAGACTATAAAAAAGCGTTCGATACTGTGGACCAGCATAAGATGCTCCTGGCCCTAGCAGATTGCCCGATCTACCACCGCTATATAGCACTCAGAAAGAACGTCTATGACACTGCCGCAGCTCATGTTAGACATCATGCTAATGCTGACAAATTTTATATAAATCGTGGAATTCCACAGGGCGATCCTGTGTAAAGGAATAGATTGGGATGATACGGACGGATGATATGCACGGAACTTCAATACATGTGTAAAAGAATAGATTGGGATGATATGGGTATTAGTGTCAACGGTGAAAACCTCAACCACCTCAGGTTTGCCGATGATGCAGTATTAATCTCAGGCCGTATTGACAAAGCCAGGGCATCTCTTGGAAAACTCCACCAGGCATCCGGACAAGTTGGGCTAAAGATCAACATATCAAAAACTCAATTTATGACTAATCAAGTAGTATCCACCAATATACCCTTAGGTGATAAGGAAGTACAAGTGACATCATAAAAATACTTGGGCCACGAAATCCGAGTAGGCCGGGATAATCAGACCTCTGAAATCTTCAGGAGACTAGGTTTGACATGGGCAGCATTTGGCTACCTCAGAGAGTCATTCAAGTCTGAACTCCCCATATGTTTAAAGCGCAAACTTTTTAACCAATGTGTCCTGCCAGTGATGCCTAACTAAAAAATTGATTAATAAAATAAGAACAACACAAGTAGCTATGGAAAGATCGATGTTGGGGTATCACTTAGGAAAAGAATACATAAGATATACGGCGCAGGACAGGAGTTACGAATGCAGTAAAGAAAATTTCCTCTTTAAAATGGAACTGGGCAGGTCACGTTGCGAGAACTAGAGACGATCGATGGACTAGAAAAATTATCGAATGGAGACCACGATGTGAGGCCTATCGAAGTAGAGGACGACCCCCGGCGAGATGGACGGATGACTTAAGGAGAATCCGAACAAACTGGAGATGCAGGTCGCGCAGAATAGGCATGAGTGGCACAGTTTGCGAGAGGCTTATGTTCAACAGTGGACGCTATGGCGGGCTAATATGATGATGTCATGGTTTTGTCTGGCAACGTGGTGGTTGCCCCACCTTCGCTGATCACAGTTTTTGAACGGAAGAGACGAAAAATCGATCCAGGACGGTGACTCAACAAAGGGGAATTAAGTACCCACCGTAGAACCGAGCAGTCGACCGTCGACCAAGTTCAACCGTCGTCAAGACCAAGTTTGCCCACCATCTTCGTGCAGTGCTGATAGGACTATCAGCTGCCTCCTGGTTCCCGAATGGGGATTACAGTCATTGGAATTGTGAATTGGATGGCTAGGGCAAGTCTGGATGAGACTGGAGTGAGCACGTGAAGCGGACATTGACAGCACGAGGTGTCGCCGATTTTGAAGGCTACGTAGAGCTGATATTTGGGCGAGTATAGAGCCATTCATTAAATTTTTATGTAATAGGTTAATTTTATTTCATTCGCCTTCATATTATTGTATTAGATTAAGTATTTGAATTAGATTGCAAATCAAACGGTTGGCACACGGTAACTTGTGGTCCTCAGGCCACGTGTTTCGTATTATTTGTAAGCCTTACCGTGATTTCAATCTGATTGTAAGTAGGTATTTTGTTAGCATATCACCGCTGGGCCTTCTAGATTTGCTGCGAAAGCTAGTGGCGCTTCAACAAATCCACGCTTCGGGCTTTATACACGACCGCCCAAGTTACCTGCTCAAGAGCAAAAAATGTTTTGCATTTTTTCCGTTTTTTAAATTTACACAATTGTTTTATTGTAAATTCACGGTTTGAATGCTATAAACTTAAAATAATATTTATTCGTTCGCTAAGAAGATTTGACAAGAACATGACAATTTCAGCGCGATACAAATTGTGTCCGATATTAAATTGAAAATTAGTTTGTTTTTCTAGAACAAGGCACGTAAAAGGCATGCTTGGGAGCAAACGATTTGAAAGCATTATTGATCATCCTTTCGAATTTAGAAACTCAACATTGCACGTATAAAAAATCGTCTTTAAACAGCATTTAAAAAATTATATAATTTTACAATATACAGGGTGGCTTTTTATCTTGAAACAGTTAAATATTTCGGAAACGAGGGATCCACAGAAAAAATGTTTTAAATAATTTCAATTATTTGTGTCACTAAAAAGCGCCTGCATCGTTCTTGCTCTGTTTTCCGTAATTCATTTCTGAGCTATTTTATTTTGACACATTTTCTTATTTGGGCCCATAGTGCGCCACCTGTCAAAATTGAAGAAAATAGTTTAGATAAATTATTCTCACTTTTTGACGTACTATTCGAATCTCCAATAATCCAATAAAATGTTGCAGTTACCCCTTGAAGTTCTCAAGTTGGCCTCTGGCTAGCCTACAAGGTCGAAGTAGGCGTTGTTTTTCTGAATCGAATAAGCTTCCACCTCCCAGATATTAACTTCTTAGTTGAAACATTTTTTTCCTCGTATCACTAGTTTCCGAAATATTTAAGTGCTTCAAGATAATAAATAAACACCCTGTATATCGCAAAATTACTCACTTTTACGACATATGATTTAGTTAATATGCAGAGCTCCTAACGCGTGCCTTGCTCTTTTTGTGGTTTGTTTACTGACAATTTAAAAATACATTTTTTACTGCTTAAATAACAAGATAACAATTATTCTGAGGCATCTAAAAACCAGTGCAAATTTGGAAAACGGCTGAAAATGTTTTTCTGAAATATGTCCGAGAGTCACATGCTACCGAATTAAATGTGAGGTTGACAAAATTCAATTTTAATATGTCAGACGGTTTGAAAATTGTGTAAAATATGGCTTTCAATTAGTTAGAGTTTTAATCGTTTTAATTAAAGAAGAAAAGCAACATCAAATGTAAACAGCAAAAGAAATGTTTCTAATTCCTCTCTGGTGCAAACTGCGAAAATTTTATATAAGAATTTGTACCAGGGTTGAATTTATGGATGAAAAAGAGCAGAATTTACATTCGCTTTGTACAAACCAAAAATATCATATTCTATGATATTATTACGTAATAAAATTAAGTCCAATATCAAATATGATTCACACAAGAACCAATACTTAGCTTTTAAAATTCTCTTTAGAATATAGACTTGATAGTTGATCGCATTTTGTAAGTACATTACTAAGCGTGGTATCGATTATTGTTATCGTGGTGATCAAGGATTACCACGACTTTATAACTTACTGCTTATTAATACTAAGTGCATAAAGTTCTATGGATAATTTAGCAAAACTTATTAAATTAAACTAGCAATATCTAATTTTCCTAGGCATAAAAATAGTCAATCAACATTTTTGCTTATATTCGTTGATTATATTGTCTTCGTGCATTTGCGCATCACTTTTACTGCCTTATTTTTTCATGAGATTTAGATTAAAAATCAATGTAACGTATCTTGAATAGAATGAGCATTAAGGCTTCGGCAAATTGCTAATAATGAATAATGTTGTAAATTTGTTGCATTCCTGACACGTTGTTCTGATGCAAATAATTCTCCAAAATATTCCGTAGCAGAAAATGTACTTAAAAATCGCAGTTTGGGATCTACATGTTGTTCTAAGAAGAACAAAGATTAAACCAGGATAAAGTAATCTACTATGAAATTAAATGTATGCAGATCCTAAAAACGATTATACTTCCGGGTTCCAACCATTTTTAGTAACACAAAATTTCGAGTTTGACCGCAGTGCAAGTAATTGTGCTTACCCTTTTAGTACAAAACAGTACTACAAGATCAGGAGGTCAAAGTGTATTTTGTATTTCATAATTTATGAAATAAAGTTTTAGTTTAGAGAAAAATCACCTGCAAATCATATTAGTTTTATTTGAAATTGTTCGCAAGGAACAAGGAAGAAACAAAGTTTTTGGTTCTACATCACATTTATTGGGCGTAGCTCTCAAAGCTTGTTAAATGTCCTTTCAGTGTTGGCTGTGGTCTCTGCAACTTTAAGAAATTATATTTTTCAATGATAATTGAAACTTTTTGGACATTGAAAAATTTCACAAACATTAAGGATTTGTGAAAGACAATATAGTAACAAAATTTCCTGATTCGTATAGCGCAGGAAATGCATCGACTTAAAAATTTGAATCAATATAATTATCATAAGATATTACTATCGAATGTGAAAATTTTCAAGATTAGGACCAGTTTGATTCGCTTCCAGTGTAACAGTCGTTTTAAAATTTACCGAAAGAACTACTACCAAAGCACTTCTGGAATATTTGCATGTCAAGAGTTTAAGCAACATTATATATATTTCGCTTAGAATTTGCTAACTACAGTCCTGTCTGGTCCAAGGCAAATCGTATACAAAAGAGGCACGTCGTGTTTGCATATGTATGCAGCTTCTTCAGGCGGTGACAGTTGTTGTGACCGGACATGGTTTCCTTCTGGGCAGTCTTTCACGTCTTTTTATGTCCCCCAAGCTGACGCCACGAAGTCCGTATGTAAATCTCTCCGGCATATTTGCGAATATCAAACCCTCCGAAAACTTATCGCCCAGTGTCAAAAGTCGGTTACGGTTTTCCAGACACAGATAAATTTTCAATGAATAGTTTGGTATCGGCGAATAGTGCTGAGCACGAATTAAGTTGCTTCAAATTGAGCTAAATTACAATATAAATGCCAATCCGTTCTCAGGACATGGAACCAAGTAATTCCCAAAGCTTAGGTTTCTTAATTTCTTAGCTCTCAGTCCTGCTTAATATTTTCAGCACGTGATCGCTCCCTCTCTAAATCCCAAATATACGACAAAAATCCTTGGATTAACCGAATATTTACTGGTGTGGATTGACTGACTGATGGAAGAGGTTATATCCTGATGAGGTTCAAAGTATTACAGCTTTCAGTGTGCGTGTTTCGTTTTTCGACGGTCTGGCTTATTAATGTTCCTTCCAATGCTGGGAGAAAATTATTGGTTTTATATCTAACTGGAGTTTATCTTGCATAAGGTTTTTCATATAAAAAGAGATCACATTAAAATCATATAAGGCTTTAGTTACTTTTCATGCAAAACAAGTACACAATAATAGGACACAACAACGCACAAAGAATAATACACAACACTGAGCAGTTAGTTCGGGTTAGTGGGCTAAATGAGATCTAAATTGTTGCTCAAAAAACCCTGTTTCCCCGCTCAAAAATGGTCACTTTTTCGATGTGAAGGGAAAGGTATGTAAATCGAATGTAAAGTTGGAAGTTTCTTAATGAGCGCAAGAAAATAAAAACCGGGATTTGTTAAAAGTTAACTCAACCAATACTGATGTGTAGAGCAATTTTTATTAATTTCGGATTGAAGAAAATCGTAGTCTCTGAGAAAAACGTTTCACATCAGTCTTATCCAGAGCTTTATAATTTTTTCAGTAGGTGACAGCTTAACTTCTAATTGCTGCCAACAAATTTATGGCCTATGATCTTAAAATATTAGTCAGATCTTACGTTGA